GGCGTCGAAATTGACCACTGAATCAAAGAAAGGAATCAGGGATTCCAGACGATCAAACCAAATCGCAAGAATGTTCACCAGACCAGAAAAAGATGGAGAAGCAGAGAAAATCGACATCTCTTACTTAGGCTCTAAGAAAAAGTCGTCTGCAGGTAATAAATCTCCACGTATCCCTGTTCAAGAACGTGATCGTTTTATTATGGCAAGACAACTGATAAAAATCATTAGAGTACTTCGAGAAAATCGGAGTGACCAGATTACTGTAAATACGGTGTGTAAAATATTAGGTTTTTTATCTGAACGTGAAGTTGTGGAGGAATATGATAAGGATATGAGGCTTGGAAGGTTACCTGTTGTTGAAAAGGGGATAGTTCTTAAAGAAACTTCTAATGCTCGGGAAACCCTGTGATTGTGAAGAAAAGAGTTTCTCGAAAAGGAAAAGAGAAAGTAGGAGAACATTTGAATGTTGGAGGAGATGAATTCGTTGGTAATGAGGAACTGCAGACTTTGGAGAAAAGCAAGAACATTGACACTAGGAAGGAAGACAATGATGAGAAACTATTTGTTGAGTTTGCGCCCATTTCTGGAATTCCTTCTAATGACAAAAAAAGTGATAGCTTGTTTAGAAACAAAACTCATCAAGTTGCTTACAACTCTCTCCTAGCCAGAGGAATAATGAATAATAGAGTTATGGACTTCAACTTCTTTGAAAATTTCAATATCAAGATTCAGAGTCTAATTGAAAATCTTGCTTTTCAAAGAATGTGCTCTCTCTCTCACAAAGTTTACCCTGACCTCATGGCTTACTTTTATTCAAATCTGTCATTCATTTCTCCTGCTGAAACTGAGTTCTCTGTTTTTCAACAAGAGTACAAGTTAACAGCCTTTGATCTCTCTGCCATTCTAGGAGTAAAACATACAGAATTTTCTTTTGTTCCTATCACTTCTGATTTGACATATCGATCTCTGTCTGATGACTCATCTTTCATCAGAGGCTCTACATCTCATGTATCTCACACTCTTTTTCCTCTAAATTCTATTGTCCTGCACAAAATCATCATCAATTGTCTTAGACCCAAAGGATATTCCAAAACTGATGTATTTCGATATGAGGCAAAGTTGATTTAGGCAATTCAAACCACCTTTCCCATTTCTCTGTCCCATATGATTCTTCTTTAAATGTATAGAACTGTCAAGAAGAGTAAAGGACAACTCCCTTATGGAGCTTTGATCACCGCTATCTTTGAGTATTTGAAAATCTCCATTCTTGCAAAACTCAAAGGTAAACCTCTTCAAATTATGACTGTTGGAGAACTCATGATGACTAAGATGGGATACAGGTTTGATGGTGAAAATTGGAAGGATAAGAAGGTAAGATTATTCCTGCTGAAATGATGAATGCACAGAACAAGGGCTCTGTTAACATTTTTCATGAGTCTGATGAGAAGGAATTAATTGAACCTTTAGTAAGAAACAGAAAAGTATAGCTGACGGCCTCCGGAACTGACAGACTAGCCAAAAGAACTCAAGCCGTGGCTAGTGATTCTAATGAGATGGAAATATCCGATGAACAATCTGCTGAACAATCTCAAGCTGATGATAGGAGCCTTGAGGAGTCAAGGTTTATGCAATGGCTAATTTTTCAAGATGCCAAGCATAAAGCCCGTGCAGACAGACATGTTGCCACTCAGCTTGAAATTTAGAGACGGTGAGATGAGGAGGAACACTTGATGAAATCACTAAGTGACATCATCAACAAAATAGTCATGGAAAATCAGCAAGAACACATGGCTACTGCAGAGAAAGAAGCTGAGGAAGGACCCTCTAGGAGACAAGGGGAGTTTGAACATGACCATGAAGCTGAAATACATGAGGAGTTTGAGCAAGAAAATGCTCACAATGATGAGGAAAATAGCATTAATCTAGTTGAAATGCAGGAGGAGTTTGATGAAGATAATGCTCAAGATGTTGAGGACAATGACTTTAATTTGCCTGACATACAGGAGGACCACAATCAGAATGCACAAGAGGCAACTCCTTAGAAGCAACTTCTGTAGATTTTCCTCTTAAAGGAGATGGTTGTGAAAACAGTCTATCTGAAGCTCAACAGAGAGGCAAAGAGAAGGAAGCAACATCCGTTGACATTCAGACCACTCACACTCCTTCTGGATACAATATCTCATCATCCATGTCAGACCATGCAGCGATTACCGATCTAAGGTGGAGATAAGCTGCAGTTCAGAATGAAGTCAGAGAACTCCACAATGAACTTAAAGAAGGAATTCAGGAGATCAAGGACTTGATGGAAGCAAGATTCAACAATCTGAAAACTCAAGTAAGAATTGATGTAGAAATTGCTGCAATTCAAATTGAAAATCTTGAAGGTCATATTCATCAGCTCTCATCACATATTGAACAACGTCTGAACCAACTTTCTAGCTTTAGTCTTGTCCAAGTGCCTTTCCTATCTGCACCTTTTGGAATCTCTTCATCTGAACCATCAGGACCTCAGCCCCTCCGGCAAATCAGCCAAACTGATCACGTATCTTCCCAACTTTTAATTTCTGAACTATTTGTTTCAACTTTCCATATTGGTTTTTGTTAAATGTTTGACTTGGTGTGAACTTTGAATATTGATATATGATTCGACAATGGTTGTTCGACTTACTTTTACTGCATTTTTATTGATTATGCTATCTATCCTTTCTGCTGATGTCAAAAAAGGGGAGAAGTATTATAGCGGCAAAAGATGTGAATGCAAGTATGGAAACGGCAGAATATAATTTGATATATATTGATTTCAGAGCTTAACAATGCTTTATATATGCTTCGAAAGTTATATCATCTGAATAGATTATTTACATCGCATATAGACAGTTTTGTTATCATCAAAAAGGGGAAGAATATTGAGAAAAATCCCTAATGAGTTTTGAGGAATGACAAAACTATCTGTTACTGACCAAAATTACACTTAAGTTATTTGATGCATGTAAATGCTGAGTCATCAGACTTAGTCGATGAAAAGACTTTGTTATCAGACTCAAAATTACTGGTTAGATTCAATGAGTGTTATTTTTGGCAAGTTTTTGCTGGATAATCAAATTGATATTTTAAAATATTCAAATTGGCAATCACAGGATCGTTCCTTAAATACGAAGAACTACACTTATGGAAACCTTGATTTGATTGTATGGGTGATCAAATCACTCAGAGATAATGATTCTTCTTCTAACGGCTATGCATTTTCTTTTGAGAAGTTTCTCCAACGGTTTAATTTGAAGATCAGTCCTCTCTGAAGATTTTCCAACAGATAGATTGGAAGTAGAGAAGTATAAAAGGAGTGCAAACGTCGTACAAGAAAAAAAGAACCAGAATCGAGAATTCCAAAGTCTGAATAGAGCTTCGATCTTACACACTTATGATTACTGTTTTCCACGTTGTAATTTTAGAAAGAAAATTACTTGAGTAAAGAGTGTACGTGATAATGTAGTCTATCATCTGAGAAGCATTGCTCTTGTAATCTTCTGGTGATTCAATAGTGAAACACAGCCAACAGGTTGCCAGCGTAGAGAGTGAACGTAGGCTCGATAAAGCCAAACCACTATAAAGATCTATGCGCAGTATTCTCTATCTCTAAACTTTTATTATTGCTGACATTATACTGCATACATATCTGTCAAACAAGTTCGTCAGAACATCATCTAGTCATCAGACGCAATCATCTGACGACAACTTATATACAAGTTTGTCATACGCATCCATATAATATTAATCATATGAATTGTTGATCTCGACTACATTCATTCCGCACGTTTAAATCATTCAATTTGGTAAATCACCTATTCACCCCCTCTAGGTGATAGCACTAGCCGTAACAACTTAAATTTATGAATTTGTCTTTCTCTTTTTTTTTCTTTTCTTTCCTTGGCACTGTTCATCTTCATCTTATTTGGATGAACAATACCACCATGTTTTGGGGTAATGACTAAATCGCCACGTCAGCGTTTCAAGTGAAAATCAGCAAGAAGCATGCATTGGAATTTCATTGAAATATTTAGGACTACATCGACAAAAATTAAATATTTATAATCGAATTAGCATCTGTACAATAGTTTTAGATCTGATTTGATAATTTTTATCAAAAATATATATAGGTCAAGTGGTCATTTTGTTGTTTGTTTATGTTGAAAACCAAGATTTGATCCTTGATTCGTCAAAAAGTTTTTTTTTTTAATAGAAAAGAATCTTGAGAACCCAATTCTATGACCCAAGCCCATCCATCGAATAACCAGGCCCGGCCTCAATAGACCCAAGTCAAGTGCCTCTTACCAAGGCATGGCCACCAAAGGACTTGGCATGAGCATTAAGGTCCCGACGCAGCCTCAAAGGACCCGAGTCAAAACCTTCGTGGACTTGGGCACGGGAACTGGGGTCTCGGCCCAGCCTCAAGGGATCTGGGCTTTACGTCTATCGATTCGAGGTAGGCATCGGGTGGCTCGGACTCGGCCTCAAGCGACTTGGGCCCAACCTTTGTGATCCCAAGCCTGATTGCTGAGGAACTGGGAGCGATTTTGATGGACACGGGCCAAGCACTAGTGACTTGGGTGAGGGAGCCAGGTACTAGAGTATAGCCGTTAGGGACCCAAGTAAGGGCACCGATGTTTTAAGCTTGGTCTTGAGGGACTTGTGCTTGGCCTCCGTAGACTTGGGCATGGGCACCAGAGTCTTGGCCAGGTCATGAGGGACCCAAGTCCCACCTCTGTGAACCTATGCTTGGCCACGATGGACCCAGGCAAAATGTCAATGACTTTGGCGTGGAGCCAAGTACTTAGGCATGGGTGGGGACCTAGGCACATGCACCAAGTTCCCAGGCTTAGCCTCGAGAGACCCAAGCCTAGCTTCTGTGGACTCAACCATCGAGGAACCAAGCCCGGCCTAGATGGACTCGGGATTGTCTCGATGGACCCAGGTACTTAGGCAAGGTTATTGCAAACCCGAGCATGGGCACCAGGGACCCGGGCACGGGCATCGAGGTCTAAGTTGAGCCTAGATGGACTCAGGCCCGAGTCTTCTTGAACCTAGGTATCAGCACCAAAATTCTTGGGCCTAGCCTTGAGGGATCTGAGACTGTCCATTGTGGACCCGCGTCCAGCTACCGAGGAATTTGGCTCAGCCACAATGGCCTTGGCCAAGTGCTAGTGAATTAGTTGCGAGAGCCAGATACTCGAACGTGGGCACACGGATCTCGAAGCCAGTTAAGGGACCCAAGCTGGGCCTTTGTGGACCCAAGTACAGGCACCGATGTCTCCAGCTTGACTTCGAGGGACCTGGGCTAGCCTTTGTGGTCTCGTTGGTCCACAACCACATCAAGAGCTCAAGCATCATCGTGAAGGCTCCGTCACTTAACGCCAAGGTTTGCCACTTCGTGACCGCCGAACTGTGCATTGAAGCGGCAACCCCAGAGCCAGAGGAGGAGGAGGAGAGCGGATCCGATCTCGTGGGCGGCCAGAAGTTGAAGAGGACGAGCAGTAGGGGAGTGAAATTGGAGGGCGCAAAAGGGCATTACTCTTTATTAAATGGGTTGAAGTTGGGCTTTTTACAAACCCGTTTGAACCAATCATTAATTGGACTTCGTTTTATTAGACCCATTTTAACACATATTTAAATTTTAAGAAACTCATATTTCACCCAACTTCACAAATATGAGTCAAAATGTGGGTCTATGATCCATTTTGCCACATTAATTCATGGTATCTATAATACAAGGATCTATGTACGTGACTTTTCTTTCTTGCTTTTAATTTTAATTTTTTTATTTTCAAAATATTTAGTTTTATTTAGTATTGAATCCTCATTTTCCCGCGTTTATAAAGATATAGGCATTGGCAACGTCACTCCCCCTTCGTGTGGACAAGATGAGCGGTACGCTGAGCATTCTTAATGTCTATCATATGTTAGAAGAAACCACTAAATGTATGCTACTTTTATGAATCTGCATATAGGTAACTCGCACACGTCTGACAGCCATGTGGGTCACCGGACCACCAAGACGGCGCACGAGGCCTCGAGCTACATCAAATGGCGCTTAGGAGGCAGGCCTGAGGACGCGATCTTGTTCTGCGGATCAGGATCCACCGGGTCGATCAAGCGGCTCCAAGAAGTCATGGGCATTGCAGTGCCGTCCACCCTAAGAGAGAGGATGAATAAGTGCACGCCAAGCGAAGAGAGATGGGTGGTCTTAGTTGGGCCTTATGAGCACCATTCCAACCTTCTCTCGTGGAGGCAAAGTCTAGCAGAGGTCATAGAGATTGGACTAGATGAATATGGGTTGATAGACATGGAAGATTTAAGGCAAAAGCTCGAGTCTTATCGAGATGCAAACAGGCCAATTCTGGGTTCTTTCTCAGCTTGCTGTAATGTAACAGGGATTTACACCGACACAAGAGCTGTTGCGAAGCTGCTTCACCAATTTGGTGCCTTTGCTTGCTTTGATTTTGCAGCTAGGTGAGCCTACATTTTCATGGATTTACTAATTCAATTAGAGAACTAGATATTTAAATAGATAATCCAATAATAAGCAACTGTTTGCACCTACTGAGAAAATGTTATAAGACTATACAAATCTGTGGTAACGTAATGAAGCGACTAATCTAACTGGCCTTTAATTGCTTAATTGTCAACAGTGCACCTTATGTAAAAATCGACATGAGATCAGGGGAAATCGACGGTTATGATGCTATCTTCCTGAGTGTGCACAAGTTCCTAGGGGGACCTGGGTCTCCGGGAATTCTACTCATGAGCAAGGCTCTCTATCATCTGGGGTCATCTCCCCCGTCAACCTGTGGAGGAGGAACTGTTGACTATGTGAATGGCTTCAATGAAAAGGCAAACCATTGATCCATTGGAAACGATAAGAGCTAATTCGGAAGCTGAAACGATTATCATCAGAGCATACTGATTTTTATCAGTCCATAAATTGTTAAATTATTCGCCTTGCAGGATACATTATACGTGGAAGACATTGAAGAAAGAGAGAACGCTGGGACTCCACAGGTTATTCAGATCATAAGAGCAGCATTGGCATTTTGGTTGAAAGATTACGTAGGATATGAAGTGATTGAGAAACTGGAGGACAAGTACATCAACGAAGCCATCAAAAGGCTGTCCAGAAACCAGAACATAGAGATTCTCGGGAACAAAACTGTTAAGAGACAAGCTATATTGTCTTTCCTGATATACTCAACAACTTACTCGCCACCAGATGGCGGTAAGAAGGGAAGACGGAAAGCACTTTACATGTGGGGAGAAACGGGGAACAAAAGAGATAAGCCTCTCCACGGACCTGTCGTTGCCATTCTCCTCAATGACCTCTTTGGCATTCAAGCAAGAGGTGGGTGCGCTTGTGCCAGTCCGTATGGTCATGCGCTACTTGGCATCAGTGGAGCTCAGTCCCATTCATTTAGAAGTGCCATTCAAAAGGTAATATGCTTGTTTTGTTTCCCGTAAGACAGTGACAGCCAAAACCTTGAAGGTTTTAATACTGTAGTAGCCATAAAAAGCCATGAAGGTTCTAATACTGTAATAGCCATATAGGCGAAGGATCTAATAGGCACTACCCCTCGACCAATGCGATGATCTCCTCCTAGTGCCATGTAACAATAAGCATTTCACTAATATTCAGTGATTTTACCTTTATGACAGGGTTTTGCTGGAGTGAAACCTGGATGGACCAGAGTGAGCTTTCCCTACTACCTGTTCAAGGAGGAGTTCGGGTACATTATTGCTGCACTGGAGTTTGTAGCCTCTTATGGCCACAGGTTCCTTCCGCTCTGTCATTTCAACCTGAAAACCGCCAACTGGACCTTCAAAAAGAAGGCACTTATAAAGATTGTAGGGAAAGAAAGAAAGGGCAACATTTGTATCTTGGAGGACAATCAGGCTGGTAAAAATCTCAAAGGAGACGATAAACAAGAGAGCCTCATCAGGAAGTATACATCATACTGGGAGAGTGCAAAACATACGGCAGGTCTCCTCCCCAAATTTCCCTCCCTGCGCAGGTTCCAGGTAGAAATTGATCCACAGCTACTGTACTTCCGCATCTAGCAGAAGATTTGGAAGAAATTCAAATTGAATTAAGTAATGTGCAAAGTCTCTTCCTATAGACTATGCAACTTCAAATACTGTCACCAAGAGTCATCTGAAGATGATAGACAGGCTGATTGTCACACTTACAGCCACCCGTAAGTATATGCGCCGAGCCAAAATTACGTATTCATGAATTGTAAGAACATTCTCTCCTCCATCGTCAATTTTTTCCCTTCTCAATCCTAGTGCTTATATGCTGAGTGTTTTAGCATAGTTAACATGAGTCCTCCATTGGGAAAATATAAAGAAACGTGAATCGGGAAGAAGAATGAAGTCAGAATTTAAGGCGTGATAACACTCTCTTAAATGAATTATTTGCCATCACAACGTTACTAATGGTTATTGGCAAAAATCTTCCAAGATACAACAAAGTTCCGAATGAGAATACCATATAGTAATTCTAGTACTTCTCCGGGATCTCTCAAGGAAAACGATTGGAAAAAATGACTGTATGGTTTTAAGAAGGGTCAATTAAAAAAAAAACGTATCAATTTTACCTTGAGTGACAATTCTAACCCGAACTTCTTTTGTCTCAATAAAAAGCACCAATTTTTACTCTAGTCCCAAATCTGGCCCCCATAATGTAAAATTATCAAATTGCTCGGGCCATATTTGGGATTTAAGTGAAAGTTTTTGATTTTTTACAAGACAAAAAAAAGTTTAGGCCAAAATTGTCTTTCAAGGTAAAGTTGGTGCTTTTTTTTGTACTTAGGTCGTTTTAAGAAAGAAGTATCAAAAAGTTAATGAAAAGAGACCGAAAAATATGAATATATATTTCGGTCTTTTAGAACCAAATGCAACCTTTCGGGACAAGTTATTCCCATAAATATGTTCTCAAAAGACATATTGAAAATTCGGATTAAAAAACAATTAATAATAATAATATTATTATTATTATTAATTACTATTATTATTATCCCAAATTTTATAAATTCTTAAAAAATAATTTTTGTACAAATACAACCTTTCAAAGATGAAGGAGTTATATCCGAAAAAACATAACCTTCCAAAGGTGAAGTAGTTTTGTCCAAATAGACATAATTATTCCAAAGGTTGTAAAAGCTCCTAATAACCGTTAGGAAAAAATAATAAAATTCGCAATTAATTAATTAAAAAATAACTACAACTCTATTGCAATCAGTCACACTATTTCAATAGGATAAAACGGTTATTTTATAATAATAACTTCGAAATTTAATAAATAATAAATAATAAATGAGAACTAGTGCCAATTATGATCCGCGAGCGCACTAAGGGCGCCAAAATCACTCACCCACATGCAGGTATTGTTGTCTTCAACTGTAATATTAGAAGACACTCACACTTAAATATTTGCCCATATACTCCAAACTTTCCTATGTGGGACAAAGCACTTTTGTTTGTTTTACAAACAAACTTCCAACACCTTCATCGAGATCAATTTCCATATACAAACCGATGCCAATCACTTGAGTGCACCCATTGATATTAATCAGATCTCGGGAGCACTCGCTCACCATATGAATCATGGTAAAAAGTAATGACTGCTTAAGGACCGAAATCGACTTCCTATTCAACTGCTGAGTATCATTACCGAGTATATAACATACTAGTTTCACACAAGCAGCCGTTAGAAATAGTTTCTGAAACAAAGGTTTACCACTACACAAGCTTTTAACGCTGTACTATAATTCACTTAAAACTATCCCCTGAACTATCAGGTAGACTTTGAGATCCTTAAAGAAGCAACAAACCTTATGCAGCAGGCAACCACCACAGAAACATGCAATCGAACACAACATGCTACAGCGAAGGCTTTTAAAGTGATTGAAACGAGCTATTAAAGAATTTACAATGATTTCAGAAAAATGTTTATGCACTAAGATAATGCATTTGACATGTAAAGGATATATTGTTCTGCTGTCGTATTTCATCCAGCATCGGAAAATGCATAGGCCCGAAACAACTTCGCTTTGTCTGAATGTGACAGCTACAAATATCACATCCAACACAGAGAATCGAGTTAACTCTCGTCTATTTTTGAAGTCAACACAGAGAATCGAACTGTCGAACGCAAGAAACGCGACGGACGCGGCTTCAAAATGTTAACACAGAGAGTTTTAGAGGAAAAAATGTTATTCCTCAATTTTCTGTATATTTTCTTCTATATATGTTACAATGACCTAGAGGTATATATATACAGAGGAAGGAAAGATTCCTAATAAGGCATAACATCTAATTTAGCTGATTGCAACTCATACATGCATTTTACAGCTCATTCTCACATTTTATAGCTCATTCCCACACAAAAACCCTGATAAAATAACTTAATTCGGCCACCTATTTGAATAACTTCCCCACTTTTCCTTTTGTATTCGTTTTTTCATATTACTTTCAAACTTTTTTCGATAAAATTACCAATTAATAATATTGAGTTACCGAAATTTCATTTGAGATACTTGTCAATGCCGATTAGATTGTTTTCCAATTGCCTAACTATACTTTCAGACTCAAAACTTTTGCTCCAAACCTTCCACCTCTATTTAGCCATCTTGATCTAAACCAACCTTGTATGAGTGGTCCTCACGAGGCCCAACATATACCATCCATCTCTCATACAAGGTTGGGCCAATCAACCGGTCGTTGGGGCGGCAATGCCCATGACCTCTCGGAGCGGCCAATCAACCGGTCGGATCCTGATCCACGGAACAAGATCACTCCTCCAGCCCACCTTCTCCTAAGCACCGTTTGATGTAGCTCACGGCCTGGAGCGCCGTCTTAGTGGTCCAGTGACACACATGGATGCCGGTCGTGCGCGAGTTCCCTATATATGCGTGTGATATAGAAACTAGCATTCAATTTAGTGATTCCGATTTTTGTCTAACATGTGACGCCATTCAAGATGGTCAAGCGTACTTTGGATCTTGTAGTTTGGGTTAATTCCAAAAAAAAAGCACCAACTTTAGGTCGAGGGACAATTTTGGCCCAATCTTTTTTCACAAATTTTCACTTAAATTCCAAATCTGGTCCTTATTAACTTAAAACCATTGATTTTCCAACTTGACTATTCCACCTTAGCAATAAATCCACGTGACTTGCTGACTGGATTTAAAGCATTATTCATTGTCTTATTCTCCGACCCACACTTGAAGAATAACTGAAACCTGTCGTCTCCCCTTCACTTCACCTAAGTAAAAAATATCTCCAGATTGAATCTTTCCCGCCAAACTTCATCGTTTTGTCGTAATCAAGTCAGACCACCATCCGTCGACAGACGCCATGGAAGAGATTCGCCAAGCTCACCACCATAACTTTTTCTCAAACAAGGGTAACTTATGCGAAAAGTCAATGGGAGGCCAAATTTGGGATTTAAATGAAAGTTGGTGCTTTTTTACAAGACAAAAAAAAAATTCGGGCGAATTATCCCTCGACCTAAAGTTGGTGCTTTTTATGGGATAAAAAAGTTCAGGCAAGAATTGTCCCTCAACCTAAAGTTTGTGCTTTTTTTTGGGCAAGAGGACACTATAAGTGCCATAACTTATGTACGGCGCTCACTTTGGTGCCATAACTTTTTTTCGGATCACTTTGGTGCCAAGTCGGAGGAAAAACGATCACTTAAGTGTCATAACTTTTTTTGGATCACTCGTTGCTAAAATTTTTGAAAAATGATCACTTAAGTGCTAAATTTTTTGAAAACGATCATTTAAGTGCTAAAATTTTTGAAAAGATCACTTAAGTGCCAATCTCCGGCGAGACTCCGCGAGCCACGCGCCTTCATAAATTAATAAAAAAATGCCACGTCAGATTTCCGGCAAAAAATTGTGTACGGCTGAAGTTGGCACTTAAGTTATCGTTTTTCAAAATTTTAGCACTAAAGTGATCCAAAAAAGTTATGGCACTAAAGTGAGCGCCGTACACAAGTTATGGCACTTGTAGTGTTCTTTTGCCCTTTTTTTTGGAATTAACCCCTTGTAGTTTGCGGTACCACTGGGTTTTGATTATGATGAGATAGAAATGGCTAGGAAAATAGATGAAAAGAGGACTAATTTGAGTCGTGCACGCGACATGCAGAAATATGAATCGAAAATTGCAACTCTCCATCTTAGGTTGACTTTTCCCATTCTGTGGTCGTACAATTAACTTCCGTTCAGTCAAAGTCCATTGAAAAGAATTGAATTGCTCTAGAAATTATGGAAAGATGCACATACTATTGAATGACTAAGCTAAACTATTAATATTGCTAAAATTCCAAGCATTTGAGGCTCTTGAAATGTATGACCATTTCAATTTCAAAGTTTTACCAAAAAAATTCCATGAAAATTAAACGTATACATTTAAAGTACAATATGACTATAGATGGACAAGGGAAAATTACCAAAAAAGTCCTAAATCTATTACAATTGTGCCAATTCAGTTCTAAACTTTTTTTTTTGCCAATTCAGTCCAAAACCTTTTTTTTTTGCCAATTCAGTCTTAAACCTTTTGCAATTGTGCCAATTTAATCCATCCGGCCACTTTTGGCCGGCCGGCGCTGATGTGGCATTTTTTAAATATTTTTTTCGAATTTTTTTTTTTTACTTTTCTTTCTTTCTTTCTTTCTTTTTTTCCTATCTTCTTCTCCGGCTCTCTGACCTGTCATGAGGGCCGAGGTCGGCAAGTTCCAACACACCACCCATGGGCAAGGCCGGCCCTCGCCGGGCATTGGCGAGGGTGAGCCTCGCTCGCCGCGGGCGAGGTTGAGCCTCACCATGGCCAGACGAGTTCGACCTCACCCAGCGACGGCAAGGTCTCGCCAGATTTGGGTGACCTCGCCCACCGACGACGAGGCCACCCAGATCCACCCTCGCCGTCGGTGGGCAAGGTCGAGCTCCCTCAGCGACAACGAGGCTTGCCCTTGCCAGTGCCGGCAAGGGCCCACCTCGCCAATGGCTAGCGAGTTGGAACTTGCCGGCCTCAACCTCTCGCCGGTCGCCGATCGC